GCTTCTTGCACAACCAAGGAGGAAGGTTATAGATACATAGAGTCACATGCCAGGTGTTATGATTGCTGCTCTGCTCCCCAAAAGGATTAATGCCATCTGCACTTAAACCAAACCATACGTTTCCTTGCATCATCTGCAAAGTCCCCCCACTTTCTCTCAATTCTTCTCCACTACGACCGGTTAGCGGGTACTCTCAACTTCCCATCTTTCTTACAGTCTTCTTTGTGCCATCACATCAACTTGTTATGCTCTTTGTTTTGGAACAAACGTTTGAACAGTGATATTATAGGAGCATACCACATCACCTTGGCAGGAATCCTCATCCTTGGGCGCTCGCCCTAAATATCACCAGGGTCATCGCGGCTGATCTTATAGCACAATGCACCACATACCGGGCACGCATTCAAATCCGCATACTCACCGCGGTAGAGGATGTAGTCATTAGGGCATGCATGTATCTTCCGCACCTCTAATCCTAGAGGGCAGACAATCTTCTTTGCTTCGTACGTACTATTGAGCAATTTGTTGTCCTTTGGAAGCATCTTCTTTAACATTATCAACACCTTTTCAAATCCCTTATTAGATACACCATTCATTGTCTTCCATTGCAGCAATTCCAGTGTGGTACCCAGCTTTTTCTTGTCATCTTCGCAATTTGGGTACAAAAATTTCTTGTGATCCTCTAACATGCGCTGCAACTTCAGCTTCTCTTTTGCACTTGCGCAGTTTCTCTTTGCATCAGCAATGGCCCGACCAAGATCATCGGTGGGCTCATCTGATGCCTCTTCTTCAACTTCTTCCCCCATTGTAGTACCATCGTATTCAGGGAACCCATGGCCAGGATAGATGTCATCATCCTCTTCTTCATTCTCTTTCATTAGAACTTCTCTTTCACCATGCTTGGTCCAACAGTTATAGTCGGACGTGAAACCGGACATAAACAGGTGGACGTGAATTGTTCTTGAGTTAGAGTAATTGTGATCATCCTTACAGACAGCACATGGAAAACACATAAAACCATCTGCCCGCTTGTTTTCCTCAGCCACAACTAGAAAAGTATGCACGCCATTAATGAACTGGGGAGAGCATCGGTCATCATACATCCATTGCTAGCTCATCTTCATTACACAACACCAAAAATACCAAATTAACACAAGTTCATACACACTTATTCTCATAAAACAACATACAAACTCTCTAGCTAAAGCATTTAAATGCAACAATAAATGCGATAAAGATCGCAACTAAGGTAACAAATGATCCAACAGCATAGTGATACCAAGCCTCTTTATTAACGGCATATTTTCTAATCTTTCTAGTCTTCAAGCGCATTGCATCCATCTTGATCTTGTGACCATCGACGACATTGGCAACATACAACTCCAGTTTCATCTTCTCTTATTCAATTCTTTTCAATTTTTCTTTCAAATACTTGTTTTCTTTTTCAACTAAATTTAACTTCTCGACAAGGGGGTTGGTTGCAATTTCCGGTTCACATACCTCCTAGATAAAAATATCTATGTCAACTTGATGGGCATAATTGTCATAAACACGAAATGGAACAAATAGTTATAGAAGAGAATACACACACACACACACACACACACACACACACCAAATCTGAATCATAAACCGGACAAGGGCCAACGGGGGCGGATATCAAAACCATGCCACTATGTATAACAAACAACCATATAGGTAAGAAAATTATACAAGTAACTATCTAAATCATACAAACGTGATTTTTTTTATAAAAGGATAAGAACAAGAGGCTCATGAAGGTGGTGTCGGCGACAGGACAGTGTGGGAGATCGATAGTTGTTAGGAAGGGGATGGGAAGGCACTAAGTAAACCACACCTACATATGCAAACTAAGAAGTTAATTTGAGCTCAAATTGCATATAAATCAAATAAACTCCCACATATAATTACTCCCAAACTAAAACCCACAAATCATTGTACTTATAGAGCATTGCAGGAGCTAATCTAGCAATGAGAGATGAAAGGACAAAGTTGCTAACCTTTTTGAACACTTGGATAGATGGGGTGCCTTCAAATCTTGAAATTTTTTGGCAAAAGTGGAGGATGAGCTCGAGCAAAGGCGAAGAACAGAGGAGAGGAATGAAAGGGGAAAACAGAGAGAATGGGATCGGGCTGGACGAAGGGTTTATATAGTGACATCATTAGTCCCGGTTGGTTATACAAACCGGGACTAAAGTTATACCTCTAGTCCCGGTTTGTGATACAAACCGGGACTAAAGGGGCTTGCGTGGGCCCCAGCCTAACGCCAGCCTGCCACCACCTCTTTAGTATGGGTTTGTGTCATAAACCAGGACTAGAGGTACGCCACGAACCAGGGCTAATGATGCCCACGCCCTAGCCATTGGAACCGGGACTAATGGTCACATTAGTCCCGGGTAATAATTGAACCAGGACTAATGATACGAATGTAAGGTTGTTTTTCTACTAGTGTCCCGCTACTCCTGCCACTAGCAAGTGGGCAAGGAAGCCAACGACGGTTGCGTAGACACTCGCCGAGGAGGTGGCTTAGAAGAACTAGAAGGTGGCTCCGGTGCCTTGTCCTCGTCTACGTATCAACCACCGTCTCCGTCCAGCATACGACCACTCCTCCAGCCTGTTCGCTCGCCGTTGTTGGCTACAAGGGTCGTGGCCGCCAAGTGGTCGATGAAATGCCATCAAGGTAAAAAAATGTTCTTTTCATTCTGGCGATACAATGTGTGGTGATTGCTTGCGGTCGAAGTGTGATGAAGATTGTTGTTGTGGTGGTGGTGGTGGTGCTAAGATGAGTGTGACTGAATTCTTGTCATCATTGAAGGACTCACATATGCTTGGGCTTAAATATCGCAACTATGACTACATGTTTAATCATCAAGTGGACGAAGAGGAGGTGGATACCGAGGAGATGGCCAAGGTTGAGGATGTGGCCGAGGCCTAGGAGGAAGAGGTTGACAATCCCATGGAGACACAACCAACCATGAAGCCACCATCATGATCAAGGACTCACAACTATTTCCATGAATAAGATGTAGCTTTGTGCTATGCTAGGATGGGAATCTCCCTTAATGCATTGGTAGGAATGGGTCAATCAAAGGATCGGTTTTGGGGGAGGATTGTCGACTACAACATCAACATTGTGATGTCACATCAAGCTGCACCCAAGGCTCTCTTTAGCACCATTTGGGTACCATCTAAGACCAATAGAATCGATGTTCTAGTTGTATTGATCAAGCAAACCATGCCCCACCGAGTGGCCACAAGCCCTTCACATTGTAACATAGGTACAAAGAACTTTACAACAAGGAGAAGTGGAATAGGAGAAACTCCAAGACCACACCAAAGAGATTAAGGCTAAGCATACCCGTTGAGGATGATGAAAAGGCCAACAAGTGACCAGATGGAAACAATATTTTGAAATAAAGGGAAGAAGAGAGGAGCATTCAGTGGAACATACAAATAAGAGCTTGTACCCATGAGAGAGACCAAGAAAGCCTTTGTGGCAAACACAAGGAAGAGAAGGCAACTAGATGAAATGAGATCAAGTTGGAGGATGAGAAATGGAGGTCAGAGTTGGTGGCCAAAGAAAGGAATTTGAAGGCGGAGGAGCTAGGCTTGCACTCGAGGAGGAGAGGCTTCAGAATTGAGCAAATTGATATAATGTTGATAATTTCCCTACACCTTCATCAAGCAATGGGCGCAAGATAGTTACTCCTTTATCCACAGTAACGAGGATAGAACAATGAGCTTTGTATTCTTACTTGGGAGATAAAACACTCAAAGAAATCATACCCAAGTAATGTACATAACTCGCTCTTCCATATTATTCATCTAAACATGGTTAGTGAATAAACTACTATATTAGATACAATATGTACCTATAAATCATGCCAACAAAACCAAAATAAATCAATATATAATATGATCATAAAGTTACAATTCATCACACCATACAAAATTACGTTAAAGATTACATCAAATTTATCACAACCATGTTAGGAACATCATGTGATCTTTTTTGTACTAAGGTCTCGGGAGAGAAAATGCCACATAGCTAATATTATAAACCCATAGTCCAAGGGAATAATACTCACACGTGGGAGAAACAATGTCAGGGAATAATGCATCGGTGAGGACCCCCTCTAACAAAGTACAAGAAAAGGACTCCAGAATCGGTTATACCAAAAACGCTAGAAAACAACAACTGGCACTTTGTTAATGTGTTTTTCCAGAAAAATGATACAAATATGCTTATATGAAACATAACAAAAATTATATATCATTTTAGGACGTATCAACCACTTGCTACACTCATTTGCTTTATTGTTTCTTCAACACTTGCAGCTACCATTCAAGCAAAACACATAATTGTCACTCTTTCCAGGTTTTGAAGTGATTCCTAACATACTTCCATACAACCATACTTCTATTCTTTGTTGGTTTTGACACTATTACCTTTGGTAAAGATCTACAATCGATCGCCTACACTTGTGTATACTTCTCCGGTGGATTGGTCTTCTTTTTAGAAGGCCCCTTGATGTCCACTCTTCATAAATGCCACCAAAAAGGGATTTTTCTTCCAATAATCCAAGTGCCCATAGTTTATACTCTCGAATAAATCAGGGCAAAAGTGCAACACAACCATGGTAAAACATAAAAAATGCTAACGCTAAAGTGCAAAAATGTGAACGAGAACGCGGAGCAAAATGCACACATCAATATGCCTTTGCATATCTTAATCACATGTACATTTTGCAATTCCATCTATTCATCAACATTGCTATTATAATAATCATATAAAGTTGTAGTAATACATATACAAATGCTCACATGGATCATGTGGCTATTTACACACTTTATCGTCCAACAACAAAATCATTGTGGACTTTTGCTTACTTGTGACTAGGTGTCTCACTTGAATTATCTTTATCGAGTTAAGTAATTAACTGATTAGTGTATCATCAGTCCAGTTCAATATGTTCGTGTTACCTCCGTTGGAACTTCAGTTGCTTGATGAAGATGAAGAAGAGGAAGGCGAAGAGGGCGATGATGGTCAGATGCAGGCATGTGACAAGACTGAAGTAGCGGCTCTCAAGTCCAAGGTAGCCCTCAATGAACTCCTTAATAGTCTGGTTTGCCTGCCCTGGCATAAGGATCATCTCCGTCCGGTCACCCAGCTGGGAGAACATGAGCCCATACATTGTCCATGCCGCTGGGTTAGCCCAATACGCCCACCTCCACCATATTGGGATCAGCTGCTTCCATGTCATCACATTTTTGTTGTCCATTAGGTAAGTCATGCACGAAATATCATATTTTTAATTAAATATTATCTTCAAGTAAAAGTACAAATCTGAATTATATGCAACCTATGTGTGGTTTATTACAGATTTACACGAGACCTAATTTGCATATGTTCTCTCTAGATAACATTTTAATTAAGGTGAAAAGGTTAGGGTTAATAAGGAGTGAGATTAGTACCTCTCTTCCGATGATAAAGCCCGAGAAGACATTCCAAAATATGAAGATAAGGAAGGACAATCCGGCAGCTGTCTCAAGGTTAGGTGTTAGTGCCACTGTCATCATTCCGAAGAGTGTGTAGTACATCAAGCTTAGTGCCATGTATATTACAAACCAACAGAACTTGCACATGGTCATCTGGAACCCAATCATTGGGTATACGATTGACGCAAACATGACAACTTGGACAAGCATGTAAGGCATTTCAATTGCCATCTGCAAATAGAAATCCAACTTGAGTTGAAAATTCATATGCCAATAATTCTAGGTTTGAACACGACGGTAAAGTAATATGACCTGAGCTATGACATAAGCCAATGTAGAGTACATGCCCGCTGCCTTTTCTCGATAAAGAACAACTCTCTCCATTGATACAACTGGTTGTAATATGGTGCAATTCATAAAGCCCAAAAATAGTGACGATCCATATACAACTCCCAGTATGTTGAATATGTCTTGTTGTTGTTCTCTGTTGCAAAGGAGTACCAAGTTATGATCTAATTGAGGTATTATTAGTTTGCATGAAAGAAGCCATCACTTGGGTTGCCGCCATTCCTTCTTACATGGTTGAGCCAATTTTCCAGAATACAATTCCAAACATAATTGAAAGAACCAATGTGTTCAGAAACCGAACAAGATTGTGTTATGGATTTTCCCAATATGCATATATTTGCTTCCATAGGCAAACCATACATTGTGCTCTAAAGTCTTGCCAATATCCTGATGGAAATTGTAGATCCTTTGCGTTCGGCGCTGGTTTCCCCAGCTCATCAATTAGAAGCATGTTATTGCTGCAGAAACAAGGTATTCATTATGCATATCTTCTCCCTATTGCTCAGACGAGTTAACATGCTTACATGTATAGGGAGGAGTTTCGATAAATCTGTGCATAGTCCACTCCAATCGTATATTCTGTTGATTGTGAAGTTATGTCTAACATCCATGCTGCTGGGTTTTGTCCCTCTTTTATTATAGGAACACCAGGTATAGCCTACAATATAACAATTTTAGTATTTTTTATCTCTACCTTTTGGATAGATGTTTCTGATCATGCAATATACCTGGAAATACTTGATCATATTGTCAGATAGTGGACCTAATGAACCACTGTATATGATCTGACCGCCTCTTTTCATGAGTAGAAGCTGCAATTAGTCAAATTAAATTCAAGTTTACAAATCTAGTTTTATAGTACTAATGCTAATAATTTGTAAAGGCTAATCAATGGTCAACCATTATATTAAGTTACTATTAGAAAAAAATACGCCTAACTGTATGTGATGTTTTATTTTGGTAAGAATGTAGTGGTTTGGTTACGTGTAATAAATAGTTCATTACTCTTTTTTTAATCTTCTGGTATTGACACCATGTGACCATAATTTTCCTTTCTTGCAAGTTTGTAAGCATTTGTTTTGATATATCAAAAGGTACACTTAAGCATACCTCATCAAAAGCTTCAAATATCTCAATGCTTGGTCGGTGTATTGTGCAGACAATAGTTCGCCCAGTGTCTACTGTCTTTCTGACTGTTCTCATGACAATTGCTGCAGCACGAGCATCCAAACCAGTGGTCGGCTCGTCCATAAATATAATGGAAGGACTAGCTACCAGCTCCACTGCTATTGTTAGTCTTTTTCGCTGCTCAGCTGAAAGACCAGTTGTTCCCGCGAGACCTACCATGGAATTCTTCAGTCCAGTTAATTCGACCAGGTCAATTACTTCTTCTATGAACATCTGAAAGCATGTTCAAGAGGAATCCTGTGAGATATATACAGGTATATGTTAGGTTCAAATATAGTCATGATTGTAGTAGGTCAATGGCCATACATGTCTTTGGCGAGATTTAACGTTCGAAGGAAGTCGAAGCCATGCAGAGAACTGTAGTGACTCATATACAGTGAGATTAGGGGAGTGAATGTCACTCTGTTCACAATAGCCTGAGATCCTCGAGAATATTTCCTGCTTCTTTGGGTATCCTGCTATTCTAATAGTACCTTCAGTATGTCCTCCAGTCTTTCTTCCAGCTAAAACATCGAGCAACGTTGTCTTTCCAGCACCTGTGATCCCCATTAGCGCTGTTAACACCCCTGGCCTAAAAACGCCACCCACATCGTGTAGCAGCTGAATAGTTTTTCCTGTTACTCCATACTTCATCATCTCCTGGTGGAAGAAATGACAATATTAAAATGACTGACTTGAATGGATACTATTTTGTAGTGACGGGAATGGATTGAACTATTTAGTAAGGCATTGTGTGCTAAAGATCTTACCTTTGGCATGTCGACAAAATAATTTATATGATAAAATACAAGGGAAAGAGGCTGAAAAGGGAGGGTAACTTGGGTACTTGATGCATTGACATTTCCAACTTTTTGGTTCTTGTACTCCATATTTATCTTCGTGGCATTGATCTTAACTTGATGATTGTGTGGAGCTACAAATGAAAAACAAGTAGGATGATTTTAGGTTGCATTTATATTTTAACACTTACAAGGACTGTTGTGCCTTTGAATACATACAATTCATGAACTCCAGCGCAAATATGGTGAGGATGTTGAACACAATTGAGAATCCAAATAAAATGATGACACAAATCCAGTACCAGTGCCACTCTGTGAGCAACCCTCTGATCTTGAGGATAGCTACACCAACTGTTTTAGCATTTTCATAGTAAAGTTCCTATCAGCATGAACAATCATCAACATCGGGTCATAATTAATGTCATAGGTTATGCACTTTAGATAAAGAATGATATTAAATTAATTGCATATAGTAGCCCATCTTTCATCAAGGAACTCATTTAGGGCAACTGCGTTTTGTGCATATGTGAATGGGGATGCCCAATACCCCCACTGCAACCATGGTTGGAGATTATCTGTTCCGATGTACAAAATTGGTGAGTATCTTTGATGGACATACGTCTAGAAATATGTCATGTTTCTATCTTACATCTTATGTTATTATGGCTAAAATATCTAACCTTTGGATATGACGAAGCCTCCAAATATGTAGATTGCTATAAGAATTACGACACTTAGCATGTTGGACATTACTTGTGTCCTTCCTATTGCCGCTAAGAAACGATAGAGGCCCATTGACATTTGATGCATGGCAAAAAGTACCAAAAATTGTTGGGTGAATCTGTAAGAAGCAAGGTTACCCTAGCTTAGTAAAACATTGTGATAATCATATATTGATTGACCAAGAGCATTACCTAACAAAGGAAGGTGAGTAACCAATCACATAGTAGGTTAAGCTGGTCCAGAGACCCGTCTCTATAAGTGACATTGGTAGGTTGATGATGTAAATCGAAGAAAGAAGTGCCCATCCTGGCAATGCTAGTAACTCTCTTTGCTTGTAGAAAGTGGGTAGTCGCTTCATTGTCATTGCAATTTCTGTCATGCCATTAAAGTTTGCTATCACAATAGCCATAAAGAGTGATCCCATATACTTATTGGCATCAAGTATAGTCTTATGATTCATATTTTCTCGAATAAAAACCGTTGAGATGACAAAAGCAAGAATAATTATCTGTACAGTCTTGAATATATGAAGTGGGGAGTTTCTTTTGAGAAGCAGTACTTCCCTTGAAAAGCATGCTTTGAAAATATTCCATCTAGAGATACCGTGATTTGCATTTGTTTTGATCTCCCTGTCATTTCCTCTATTGTTTGTCATGTTGTTTTCTGCAAGTCGAGGGAGATAAGATGAATAGAAGAATTCTGCTATATTTTCTATTGGCCAGTATTGATACACATTTTCATCACCAATCCAGTATTGCCTTTGATCCATCTTTGAGGTCACCTGGCCAAATGGAGAAAAATGTTGTTGTGAGCTAGATACATTATTATGCATGAACATGCCATATTAGTGAATTTGGGGAATGAGATTATGACTCATACTGAAGTTACTTGGTACTATTAATGCATTATTGCCCTTAACTTACCTGAACACTATTTTTGTAAGGATGTTAAAAAAATCTCACTATTAGTTTATTTAATAGTACATTGCCATTAGAGTCGATAATCTAATACCTCTTGAAGGAAATCGGCTACATTCTTCCTACCGGGGCATCTGAATCCCATCATTTGAAAACAATCAATAGCATTTTCTCGAGGACCATGATATACAATTTGACCCTCGCATAATAGAATTATGTCGTCAAATAATTCCAACGTCTCAGGAGATGGTTGCAATAAGGACATAACCATGCTGAGATCCATCAGATGAGTCATTTGTTGGAGGAACTTTACAATCTCATATGTAGTGGAGCTATCTAGACCTGTTGAAATATCGTCCATAAAGAAGCATCTTGCTAGACCAACTAGCATCTCTCCTGCATTTAGAATTTTATCTTGAAATACATCAACAATGTTAAATTTGAAAAAAAATGTGCCTTTTCGATATTCATACTTGTTAACTTGAGCGCTGGCATCATCAAGCACAGTTTTTCTGTATAACTATCATATTGGTAAGAAGAGCATGATATTTTTACGTTATTACAGTTAATTGAATAGAAAATGTATATTACAAATGCTATAGATTCCATTGTGGGGAAATTTTAGCGGACTACATAATTTATAATTACATCTAACAGATTTAGAGCTTGTTTAATTCAGTAGCATAAATACCAAACCTCATGTTGAACTAATTTTTCTGGAGAACATATATAGTTAAAGGAGAGAGAGAGAGAGCATTCTATAGTATTTTCACTGTCTCACTACTAGTTTACTACTTTCTTAGTCCACTTAACTGAATATGCAAAACAAAATTGATGTCATTTTTAACTTTTTGTTACTTTATAATGTTCTCATGGTGGGCTAACTAGGAGTGTTTTTGTTCTACCAAGAAATATTGTACACAATATGGAAGTTGTTGAGGTGATAAATTTTACTTGTGCCAAGTACTATAACATAAAGTTGGATCAAAAATGCACTCTAGGAATTGCGCATGTAGGGTGATGACATGAATAAGATATATAGTAGAAAATATAGAATACCTACCTATTGTGGCCCTTTTCTTTTGTCCTCCTGATATGCCTCTTCTCAACTCATCCCCCACTAGGGTATCAGCACACTCGGACAAACCAAGTATCTCCATATACCAAAAGTTTGTGATTATGTTACCAAGACAAATTTAAAATTTAAAATTTACTAAGTTACCTTGATAATATAGTTTGTTGTAAGGTTGCTTCCTTCTCCAAAGGTAGTAGCCTGCAGAAGACGGATTGAAGTAATTGATGAACTACTTTCAAGTTTATCAAAATTGGGAGAAAGTAAAATTAATGACCTTCATAGATGTGCCGAGATATTGGTCCACTTTATTAATGTCTCCATTTTTCCTTCCCATTCCTTGTCCCAACGTCCCTAAGGCGGCAATGTCACACACGCATTTTTGTATAGTATACATTTCATTAAAAAAAGGTACTCCTTGAACATCTTCAAGAGTGCTTCTTGAGTTACATTGTATGGGTTTGGTTATAATTAGTTCAGCCTAGATGTCCAGTCAACTGTTGCGCCTCAACGCATTTCATCCTATACACTAAAATAAATTTATATCATATATGAAATATGAATAACACACCATGCACAAGAGCGTGCTCACCAAATTCATTATTGGTTCCCAACATCTTTGAAGAGAAATCAATCATCTCTCTAACGGTCATCTCCGCATGGTGAAGATCATACTGGCTAATGTATGCATGCAAGTATTGAGGTGTTGAGGAATTCACTTCTTCTCCATTATACATGACCTTTCCTCCGAGCTATTAACAGAAGTAACATCAACAAAATGCAATTTTGGTTAACCAACACTTTTCTTGTTAGAAAGTGCTTTTGGTGATAAGTACTTAACATAGTCTACCTTCAAAGAAGAATCCAACTTTCCTGCCAATGCTTTTAGAAAAGTTGTTTTCCCGGAACCTGGTGCTCCTAGAAGAAGGGTCATCCTAATTATGCAATGAGATCACGAAATTTCATAGATGAGTAAATTAATGAATGATGAACTCTTGATTGTGAAGATAAATAGTGTAAAAGTAATCATTATCGATTTAGTGCTTACCGTGATGGATTAATTGCCCCGCTCACTCCATTTATGACTTTGATGGGTTTTTTTCTTGTAGTACACATGTGTGAACATGTTGCCAATTTCTGCATACATACAAAAAACTATTAGAACGATGGTTTTAGATGTGACCTACCCAACAATAGGTAGATTGAAGGAAACATCTAGATTTAAACATGCATATGCTATAAAGATGTTAAACATTATGGCAACATGCATTTCGTTTTGGTTCTGGAATCAATATGAACATTTTTCAGTTTAAGTCCTGGGATGCAAAAGCTGAGATGTACTTTGATCTCCATTTAAATTATGTTGAACAATTTGAATTATCTTGGCGTAGGTGCACACTATCTATGTCTCAACTTGCTTAATTTTGTGTACCATACATCCTAGCTCTAGAACTATCACCTCCTCCCTTTCCTTTTTGTGCATGTCGTTATGCATAGCCGGCCGCTTTCATTTCAATGGAGTGATGTGGCTTGCAAAGTAATCCAATTATCTGGTCGTTGTGCATTACAGTTTTCAAACTTCAAAACCCTTTATGTGCAGGTAGTTTACTTTGGCCGTGTAGTTGGCTTGTGTTGTACTTTCTTTCCAGGGGAAATGGAGATAGAGGTTCACATATCCTTAGAAATCAACTAGATGTAGTTAGAATGATCAGTTTTTTTAGCAGACTCAAAATGAATCTTTGATAAACTGCTCGAGGGCAGTGATGCCGCACTTTTCATAGTCCAGATGTAGTATTTATTTTGAATTGATAATACTCCAGATGTAGTATTTATTTTGAATCTGCGAATAATGACAATCAAACTCTGCTAACTACTCCCTCCGTCCCGAAATACTTGTCGGAGAAATGAATAAAATTGGATGTATCTATAACTAAAATATGTCTAGATTCATCCATTTCTCCGACAAGTATTTCCGGACGGAGGAAGTATTTAATTAGTTGATTAGTACATCGTAGCACCAGTAAAGTTGGTTAACTAGGAACCTTGTCGTCAACTCTTCATTTAATTGCCTAGGTACATTACAGCTAAATAATAATAGATGTCTTTAGGATGCGGCTAAATAATACTCCCTCCATTCCACAATGTAGTGCGTCGGTGCTTCCCGAGATCTAAGTTTGACAATAAATTTGACAAACGAGACCGACTGTGGTGAGAGCAAAAATTATGCCACCGAATTCGCCGCAGTCGGTCTCATTGGTCAAATTTATGATCAAACTTAAAATTCGGGAAGCGCGGGCGCACTACATTGTGGAACGGATGGAGTAGTGGATTAGCCGTAGCACAACGAAACAACTAAGTTTGATGTTTTTGGCAGTTAGAATATCACTTTAAGAGCAAGTATAATAGGATGACGTGGGCAGGCTATAAGAGATAGCACATAAGTTTCTTGGCTAGTTGGAGGAGAGGAAAGGAGAGGAGAAAGCAGAAGAGAGGAGAGGAGAGGAGATAGCACATCAGTTTGTTGGTAGTATGACTAACCCTGTAATATTATGTTGGCTATAAGTGACGTTGCAACTTCCTATAGCTGATTGTTGTCTATACTACATGATCTAACCAGAGAAATTCACATGGGCGCAATGGCTAGTGCACACACTTTGTGGGCTGCAGATTTGGGCTGAAGATTCGGGGTCTCATGCATGGCTTGGCCCTTGATTACTGTGAGGGTATGTGATGTGTCGACCCATCAATTATCATTATCCCATGCATGCCTACTTTTTGCCAAAGATAGTTTCTCTTTCATGCTTTTTCATTTGACTTCCAATTTTGAATCTAATATATCTTTTGAACTGAAAGCCTACTTTATGTGTCATTTGTATATTTTTGTTCCTTAGATGAGGACTTTGAAATAAGGCACTCCTAAATACATTTTGATCAGTTCTAAAAATTTATCAAGTTTCAAATATTAAAACTTGATAAGAATGACCCGTCGTCATTGCCACTCGGAACCACAGACGTATGTCCGATTTCAGAGCAACAAGCAACCGGAGCCAATCCCGTAGACACTTCGGAGAAGAGCCAACTACGACAACCATTCCGCGACCACGACATCGCACACACCCGCTGTCGTTGTGGCAGAAGACCCGTCACCACCAACGTCGTCTTCCACCGGCCGTCGCCGCAATACCCCCACCATCCTCCCAATCCCTGGCCATATCACTACGAAGCAATAGTTGTTACAAGAGAGTAGCACATCACCACATCAATGCTTTCAAGAAGGTAGTGACATCAACATATGTCGCCGTTTACGACTCCGACCTTGACCGAGGTCAAGCATTCTCCTGATGTTGTCACACACTGCCCCTAACCAATGCTTTCAAGAAGTTAGTGACATCAACATATGTCGCCGTTTACGACTCCTACCTTGACCGAGGTCGAGCTTTCTCCTGATGTCGTCACACACTACCCCTAACCAAAACAGCTAGTCCACCTAGTCTCCACTAGGCCCCAACCTGAAACACCACCCATCTAGCCCGGTCTAGGCCCATCAGCCCGGCGAAGCCTCCTCGTAGATCCAGGCCTGCCGAAGTCCACCACTTCACTGCCTCAACATTTTTTGAGCAGCTATTTGCATCAACAAATGATCATATTTTTATGGACATATGGCCATTATTAATTAGATTATCAGCGATAGATTGCAATAAATTTATAATATATTCTATCCTAGTTTAAAGAATGGATTTATTTGTTCCCTAGAAAAAACAATGCCATTATTGAAGAGATACTTGCATACTCTGTTTCTTTCTTAGGTAGGCCTTACCTATCTATAAATTCAGCCGGTTCGGATGGTGGTTGCATAACAGGATCGGAATCTAGGGAGCTTGCCCTTGGCATTGTCATACCGATTGGGATTTTGAGCATGTAATTTCCTTTCATTTTTCGCTCCGCTTACGAGCTGTAATACTTATTTGTTTCTGTGATACTTTTAGACTTTTTAATAAGTTTGCTGCATGCATCGTCATGATGCAGAGATCGAGGGCATGCCTCCATTTTCAAAAAAAAAATCTATAAATTCAGCCGCGGATCTACAAACAAATATATGCCCAAATGGATATCTCAACCGGTTAGCAAAATGGGTAAAACCAGATGTGCGCCAACCAAAATAGCTCCACGTGGCAAATTCGTTAACCATGGAGTCCTTTTTTATTACTTTTCTTAACTGTTGACTACTTCATCTTTTATTCATAAATAGTAATAGGTCACTACCTTTTTTATTATCCATGCAACCATCTTACATCAGCAAGTCATGCATGTCAAGCATAACCTACGATTTTTTTGCACTAATTTAGTCATGCAACCACGCCACATTAGCAAGTCCTCCATGCCCGTCATAACTTACATTTTGCATTACCTTTTATGTCGCCATGGATGGTATAAGTGTTGGACCCTTAGAGCCTACTTACGTAGTTGATGCTTCACCTTTTTGCTAGGAAATGACGTATCGTGAACTTCAATCCATATTATATATCATTTTTCTAACATGATTAGTATGTTTATTGTTATTTCAAAAGTAAACCGGGAACACTCCCACATTTTTCTTGAATGATTTGAACATTCCTCACCATGCCTGCCGTATTGTGCATCGTGCGGGTATTAGTATGTTCACCATGTTTGTGGTCTTTTTTTTTGTCTCAATTTTTTTTTTGTTTCTTGTTGCTGCTTTATTTGTGGGAGTTTAGATGTGACATCCTTAGAAAACGTCTCGATGTAAATTAGGCAAACTGAAAAACTTAGCTATTGATCCGGTAAAAAACACTTGTATTTCTATTGGAACTTTGCGTGGGATATCAACTTGTTTAACCAACAACGCCAACAATTAGTCACATGCTAGAGGATTTCCATATGGCAAAGTTCGCGACTGATCGACCAGCAGCAAGGAAAGTTTAAAGAAAGGGAAAAAGGAAGTACCGGGCATAGCATCAAAGTACACCCTCTGTTTATAAGAAGTTTTGGCAGTTGAGGTAGTACTAATTAGACGGTGGTTCCTCAGCGAACAAGCAAACAAACCAAAAGAAATAAAAGAGGGCGACACTGGTAGCTGATCCAAGCATAGCTTCATCTCATCAAATCACTCTTGGTCGCAACGGATATATCCACGCATATACAGAGCAATTGTTTTTTCTGTCGCAAGTAACACCATATACCTGGGCGGCATTGACGGCGCAGTTGAGCAGCGTCGGCAGCGCGCGGTGGCCCACATGCACGTCGGCCTCCACGGTCAGCTCCTCGAACCGCACCTCCACCTTCTCGGCGCCGAACCCCAGCCTGCGAAGCTCTCAGCCCGAACTCATCACCCAACAAATTAAAGCCTGTTGGCTGGCTCAATCGACCCTTGCATGAGATCGTTGCATGCGCATACCTTTCCTTCTTCTCGCGGAGCATCTCGAGGAATCGGCGGTTGTCCTCATGGGTGAGCGGCGGCAGTGGCCTGACCCGCATCTCCGACGCCTGCTCGGCCTCCCTGCTGTATTCCATCATCCTTTCAGAGCCGGAGACAACGCCTCGTTCGGCTTTGCGGGCAACGTCGGCGGTTGCTGCTTGTCCTAGACGGCGTGTCAATGGGCCTACACGTGCATGGACATATAGATTTTACGAGATATATACTACTCCGAGATAGTACTATGTTCCTTCTCAAAGGCGTTGAGAGTTGAGAGTACCATCTCCTGTATATTGGTCCAGTTCTACGGCCCAACGGCCAACGCCGCCCCGGACATTTACTACAGAAAAATAATACATGTCCCATTAATTTGGGGCCCCCCGAAAGAAACTATACCTTTTCTTTCCTTCGATATGCTCTAAGTACATAACACAACATTGTAAGTAGTTACAATGACTCAACACATAGCTAGGTACGTTGCGCTTCTGGTTACCTGTCACTAGCTGGACATTCGTACTGAGTCACATTGATGTCATGCATATTATATAAACTCACTAGATGGTACCCATGTTGTTCTTTGGTTTCTAAATATTACATTTGCATCAAATCAAAAGACATGTGAGAAGTTTCTGCAAAAAGTAAAAGAGAAATCTTAGCGGGATTGTTAAAGCCACGATTCTTTAACACCATTGATTTAGAGTCGACTGCACATGACTGGAGCTCTGGGAGCGTTGATCCTTGCGGGGCAGATGCGCAAAGATTTCCCAATTATCATCGATAATGTCAGGCCAGCTCCGGTACAGGACCGGCGACAACAGCTCGTCGACAGCATGTTCGGATGGCAACAATGGTTGCTTGGTGGTCCAATGACATCAATGTAACTTTTATTATGTTTGAGGTGTTTTATACTTCTGATGAACCTTTATGATCCAAGCCCTTTTCAAAATGAAACAAAAAAAAACTATTACATGTTGCATGTTGAAGAGTTTTTTTTTTAGATCTTGCAGTTGGTGGACTAGGATAGCAAATCCAATGGTTCCAGCATTTTGGTGATGTTGCTCATTGTGAGATCAGAATTTGTTTTTACTACGAATGTTTGCTAGTATGGCTTCTCTATTTAAGATGTACTCCATACTCACCCGCAAAGAAAAGACGTACTCCATACTGTCTTTCCCTACGAAAAAATATCCCAACAGAGACGACGTAGTGTGGCCCCTTGTATAAGTAGGTGCCATAAGTCGTGCAACGTCGGCGGTTGCTGCTTGTCCTAGACGGCGTGTCAATGGCCTACACGTGCATGGACATATGGTTTGTACGAGATACTAGTAGGAGATAGTACCATATTCGTTCTTAATGACGTTGTTTTTCATGGTAATACGTGTCTTATATTCATATCATAAAGATCAAAGTACATGTCACGTAAAGAGCGACATATGACAAAACTGAAAAGATAGCAGAACATTTCTGAGCTTGACACCAACGCCCGTCACCTGCCTCCGGCACCACCACAGCAGCCGCCGAAGAAAAGAGTGATGAATCACCTCCTCACTCGAGCTCGACGCGGCTCCATCGCTGATATGCAGCTTTACGGACCTTCAAGGTGGCTAAACAAAAGTGGAATCCTTGCCGTTGAACGAATTAGACCGGGGCAACACCCCGGACACGCCATCGAACTCCATATCTGGCACCCCACCACGACTAAGACGTCGAAGGAGGAAACCATACCTGCCATCCATGAACCACGAGCCCAGCACACGTTCCGTCTTCCATATATTGTCGATGCAGACCACAATCTGCATCCGCTCCTGGACCAGCTCCCAACCTCCGCGTTGGCGCTGGAGCAAACATAGTCGTAACGGCGGAGCCCGAGGACACAGGTCCACCGCGAGAATGCCGCAGTCGCCACACCTTCATTGCTTGAACAGACTGATTTTCAAATTCATCCCCAAACATAGAACCGATGGCCTCGTCGGGGATGGATCCAAAGAATCTTTATTCAGCCTTGTCATCGTCTTCGCCCAAGTAAAGACGATGAACAGCCTAAAAACCTAGACAACCAAGGAGTAGAAAAGATTCACACACGTGGATCCGGCGACCCCCCTCGCCACTGACAACCAAGGTCACCGACGGAGGGGAGCCGCCAAAGGACAGCGCTGGAAGACTGGCCTCCCCTGCCGGCGGCTAGGGTTACAACCGCCTTGTACTACAGAGATCGATCGACTCGTTCTTAAAGCCATTGAGAGTTGAGAGTACCATCTCCTATATATTGGCCGAGATCTATGGCCCAAGGCCAATGCCGCCCCAGATATTACTACATAAAAATAATACATATCCCATTAATTTAGGGCCCACCCGGAAGAAACTATACTTTTTATTTTCTTCGATGCGCTCTAATTTTCTTTAAACACAATACTGACACAAATGTTGATGCTTATGCACACACTCATTCCTATGAATAGACGCACACACCTACACCTATGAGCATCTTTGAAAGAGTGAGCGCTAGATTTTGAGATTGATGAAGTGTCACAGAAACCTCAAAGTTGACGGACACGTCATACCATAGGAAGAGTAGCGTCTAAAAGACTGAAATAAATCCAGGAAAATACAACCACCGTGCCAAGTCCAGGACTTGACCTTGATCATGCTCCACCACAAAAAGCTAGTAATCTGAGTTATGCTTTGTTTTAGATTACTAATTTAGTGATCTAGAATGTTTTATGTTAGTTTACAGAGAAAGTACATAACACAACATTGTAAGTACTCTCTCCATAAAAAAAATATAAGAGCGGACACCTACGACAACGCCACAGGCGTCACTGCCGTCGTCGGAGAACAAGCAGTTCTCCCTGGAGTACAGAGCAGCTAGGAGTGTTGCTCGGGCAGTGGCCGCGGATCCGGCCAACTCCGACCGCTGGGCATCGGCATTTGGAGGTGTTGAGTAAGTATATTTTCTTCTCTCCCCAACCCTTGTTCAATTCATTAGTGGTAGGTTAGTACACAGTTCAGGCAATCATTAGTTAGGATTGACCAAACCCTAGGTTAATGCAGCATTGATTCATCTTAGTTAGTTAGTTGGATGGTTAACTGTCTCGGATTTGTTAGTTGGATGCAGTTAGTAGGATTTTGCACTGTAGGTTAGTTGTTGGATAGTTGTTGGATGCAATAGTGATGCAACACTGAGGTAGTAGTTATTTAGAGAAGAGGATTTGCACTTAATTTTGTAGCCAGTGGGCATAACTAAATTTTCTACCAAAAGACACTTCTTCAGTTATGATTATAAATTTAGAGAAGAGGATTTGTACTGGATTTTGTAGTCAGTGGGCATAACTGAATTTTCTAGCAAAAGACACTTCTTCAGTATGTTTATAAATTCAAAGAAGAGGATTTGTACTGAATTTTGTAGTCAGTGGGCATTACTGAATTTTCTAGTAAAAGACACTTCTTCAGCTATGTCTATAAATTGTGTACTCCCTCCGTCCGCGAATAAGTGTACTTTTAGCCTTTGTTCTAAGTCAAAGTTTTAAAATTTTGATCAAATATATACAAAAGAGTAGTAACATATATGGCATAAAATTGATATATTATGAAATTACAATTCAAAACGAATCTAGTGATACTAATATAGTGTCATAAATGCTGCTACTTTTCCCTATAAAGTTGATCAAAGTTTTAAAACTTTGACTTAAGACAAAAGCTAGAAATACACTTATTCATGGACAGAGGGAGTACAAGTTACAAATTGGTTTGAACTATCACATTACCTACAACTATCGACACCAAGACATACACAGTGATCAAGGACAGAAGAAGCCAACCCTTGCATGGGCAGTATTTATTATTTATGGTGTGCCCATTCGGTACTCTGCAACGGCCCATGCTAGATGGATATAGTACACGTTACCACACAAGCTAGGCACGATCACACATAAATTGTGGGTGCGTTGTCACACTTAAATTGACACCCATTAATGTGACAATATGTGTACCATAATGATTATCGCTGTTGGTGATGTACGACGACCTACCCCTCTCTCTCACGCACACATCGTTAGGGTCGCGTTCAGATGGGTGACTACTTCATTCTTACCTTCCTTTTAGATGTTTGATGTCAGAATCAGCGTATAACAAGAAAATCTTGAACTGATCCTCGCATCAGAGTATGTACAGCCGGGCCTCTCATACCCATCTCAAACGTCCGGACAGGCCGTCCGGTCAGTGACCAGTCATAAAAAATCGACCCAACCAGACCTCTCAAACTGCGGACAAACGTCCTGGCTGATCGACATCCCTCATATCCAGCCCAAATATAGGGCGAATATGAGAACGCCGGGGCGCGTCCGCCTGACAGGCCCGGCCCACCACGGACCCTACAAAAAAAACCAATCCGGGCGGCGAGCTCAAACCCTAGCTCACTCTGTCCCTCTCTCTCACTCCGTCTACTCCTCTCCCTCACCCTCTCCGATTCCATCCATCATGATGAGCAGCTCCGGCAGCGACAACGGCAGTGAAATGTAAAATGGTGCCAAAATTTTCAACAATACTTTTTCCTTTTAGTTTCTATTTCTAGAATAAGTTTTTCTTAAAATTTTATTTTACATTTCTTCCTTTAGTATACAGTAACTGACTTTCTAAATGAAATATAAGAACATCTTTTTAATATGCATGAACATATTTTTTTCATATATGTGAACATTACTTTATGTCAAAATTCCATACCATGAACATATTTTTTCATATATGTGAACATTGCTTTATGTCAAAATCCCATACAATCGTCACCCTGGGTGAGGAATAGTTATTCTTCACCCCTTCTCTCTCTATATATATGGAAAATCCATCCTACCATCTAGGGGTAGTTACCCCACATGTCTGATATATTACCATATGATATTCTATATATTACTATCATTATAAGTATGTTCATATATTATATATAAGATAATTCAAAGTGGGTAACATGAAAAAATTGCAAGTTGACCCATGGTTTTTATTATATTTGTGAAATACGTATATATTTGTACGTAAAATGAAGCATTCTGAAAATATGATGTATACTACCTAAAAAGTACTACATATTAAGTAAACATTCTTATATACTACATACTATGCGTACATATTCTCCGATTTGGTAAATACCACATACAACATACAAAATTTTAAGTGGTGGTAACTACCACTAGTGGTAGTTAAGAGTAGGATTTTTTACAATAGCTTACCATGGAACTAGTTAAGGTTTTCGACGGTGTAACAGTTCTCAAAAATCCTGAAAAAAATACTAAACCAACAAACCTATCATATAACATGATCCAACGGAGGAATTGAAAAAATATGACTGGATGTGTCCTGAACAAAAAGAAAAAAATATTTCAGTATATATTGATCCAGTATTGAGCTGAAATGCTTGTTTTTTCACCGAGGACACACAAATGCATATTTTCACAATCACACTGTTGGATCATCTTATTATATTAGAGTGAGGCTCCCCTATTTATTTCACATTTTTTATTAACTTTTAAACCATTAAATGTTTAGCAAGCCTTAACTAGTTCTGTGACAAGCTATGATAGACACAGTTTTACCTATATATATTGCAACACATTATCTTTCCCTGTTTCTTATGAGATTTTCAAAATTATAAAATAGTGCATTTTCTCGCTGTTTCCACCATTCAAAGATCCCTTTTGCTGGCCTTTTTTTTGTGCAGGCGGTGATTATTATTATTTCGCTAGAAAATGTTTCTTTTTAAACTCAAAAGTCTTGTGTGTCATGCTAATTGCTTCACACAGGGTCCTTTTTGGGCAATGTCACTCTTGCTCTTACTTGGGCCTCATGCGCCCCATCAGACCGTTGTGGCATGTTTTTTGGAAACAAAAAAGATTGTGACGGTGTGTCTACG